CTCTGAGCTGTTAGCACAGAGCCCAACATGGGGCTCGAACTCACCGACTGGGGAGATCATGACCTGAGCCGAAGTTGGACGCTCACCCGAATGAGCCACCCAGGTACCCCAAAACTCAAGAATTTTTTAAAAATTAAAAAAACGTCATGCATCAAAGACTTTCTGAAAGTTATCTTCTATTGTGTGGAAAACATTTGGATATATATAATTTATTGAAACCCTGCTATACTTAGAATTGGAAAGTTATGAAAAGAGATAGGAATGATTTGGAATCCTAAACAAAAATTAATTTTAATAAAAGATTAAGTTGTTTTGATGATAAAACTGAAGTACTTAAAGGAATTCTCCTAAAACTATAAAGGAAATAGACTTTGTAAGAAGGTATATAGAAAAGCAAGCAAAATGGAAGTTGAGAAAGGCATTTTTTTTTTATTTTTTATTTTTCGAGAGAGTGTCATCAGGGAGGGGCAGAGAGAGAGGGAGACACAGCATCTGAAGCAGGCTCTAGGCTCCAGCCAGTCGTCAGCACAGAGCCTAATGCAGGGCTCGAACCCACAAACCGTGAGACTTCGACTCATGACCTGAGTTGAAGTTGGATATTTAACTAATTGACTGAGCCACCCAGGTACCCCAAGGCATTTTTAAATATACATTTTGTAGTTAAGATTTACTTTAAACTTATATTGCACATTCTTTCAAAGACTTTCACCCGCTACCAGGAAACCATTTCAAGGATCTCAATAACAAGGAAGATAGCCCATTCTATTGCCTACATTTACAAGGGAAAAAAATTGGTGCTGTAGAAAGACTGTATTTGTTACTTAGAATACGCACGGACAGAACCGAGAGCAGCCGCCTGACTTGAGTTCGCCCTCTACCTCCTTTGTTTAGTTTACTTACTTTGTGGGTTTCCCACATAAATAGATTATAAATAGCTGCATTCTAGTAATGAATTTAAATATTCATATATTTTGAAGGTTAATCTTCAAGATTTAAAGGCAAAACTTCTTTGAAGGTCCCTAAAATATGTTTTTATTCCTTGGGAGTGAACTGAGATATAAGGCTGAAAGAAATCATTCTAATTACAGCATTACATTCAGTTTTCATTGTGAAGCCAACCTAGATTGCGTCAAAGCCTTGGGCAAGTCATGGGAACTGTCGCAAAGGAGAGTCCCAAACTTTATTTTAAGGGACGGAAGAAGTGTTGGAGGGGGAAAGCGCCTATACCCCCAGAGAAGGGGGTTGCTTCTGCTGTGATCCCTGGTAACATTTGAACTAAGAGAAGCATCTTATCAGATTGGATAGTTTTCAGTTGTTTTTCTTTTCAATCTTTTCTTTTTATTTACAGTGGATGGAACTGAGGTTCAACACTCTGGCAAAATGCCCACACTGCAAAAAAATGTAAGTTTCTCTACCATTGGAAATGCTACTGGGAAGTTCTCGAGAACAGTTTAAAGAGTTCAGAATTCTCACTTCGGTGGATTTTGATTTGCAGACATGCTGTGGGACAAATGCATGTTTAATATATTTATGCTTTTCAAAACTAAAAAAAGACATCTTTAAATTGATTAATGTATTCTATTTTGAAATGAAAACGATTGGGCTTGATTATCACTCTCCAAAGGGAAATCAATTTCTAAGAAAGAAATTACTAAAATTGCCAGTAACCTGGTGAGGATTTGCAAATGTCCTGAGAGGTTATGATCTGTTGCAAATATTCTAAAATTTGTATTTAAAATATGGCTGTAATCTAGGAGAAACACCAAATGTTTGGGGGTTTATAATTAGGTAGTTGTTAGCTTTTTTTCATTTCCTATCTACTGAGATTATTCTCTGATAGCAGATTTTATATAATTATTTATCTGTCTTAACTATTCAGTCTATTTTCTCTATTCCTAAATAGTGTACCTAAGGAAATTAACAAAACGTAATATAAAAATGGGAAAAAAGTAGAAGATAGTTTGATCAAAGACATTTTATGGCAGCTGTGTTGGAGGTCCCCAAATCACCCCAAGATTCTGTGATTTTCTAGGAGTACTATTAGGAGTTAGTATATATTCGTACTCATAGCTATGATTTATTATACAAAGAAAAATGAATAAAAGAAAAGGCACATGGGACAACGTCTGAAGGAAACCACATGTAAGTTTCCAAGAGTCCTCTCCTAGGTGAGTCACACAGAAAGGGCTTAATGCCTCCAGCAGGGAATTGTTACAACACAGATGAAATATTATCTACCGGAGAAGCTCATTAGAGATTCAGTGTCCAAGGTTTTTATTGGAGCTGACCACACAGGCACCTATTACATGGCACATACCAAATTTCCAAACTCTCAGAAGGAAAGCATTCAGTATTCAGCATAAACCATATTGTTTGCACAAACAATTTAGGCATGGTAAGCCATTCTTATCAGTTAGGGAATTGTGGGAACATTTTAGAAATTTAGGTTCACAGATGCTAGCCAAGGGTCCCATCTTGAAAGCAGACCATTCAAAGGAGAGCTATCTCAGGCTTGCTATACACTGACTCTTCCTGCACAGTATTTATTTTGATAACAAAATTTTAATTTGAAAATTATTGTTGTCCACTTATGTGTGTGAATTGTAACTTAACCTAAGGAAATGAAACTGCAGTGTTTTGACAGGTCAGGTTTTTTTTTATAAAAAAATTTTTTTTAATGTTTATTTTTCTGAGAGTGAGAGAGACAGAGTGCAAGCAGAGGAGAGGCAGAATCTGAAACAGGCTCCAGGCTCTGAGCTGTCAGCACAGATCCCGACGCGGGGCTCGAACTCACAAACCGTGAGGTCATGACCTGAGCTGAAGTCAGACGCTTAACTGACTGAGCCACCCAGGCACCCCGACAGGTCAACTTTTAACATTGAAAATATGGGTTTAGAGCTTAATTGGTGTGGTCCCTAGTTTGATATAAAAACCGTATCTATTTTGAGGAAATCCTAAGAATGATTTCTAGGAGAAAAGAATTGAAGTGTCTGAATAGAATGTATGTAATAAAATCTATTTATCTCTGCTAGATCTAATTCCAACTCAATATAGCCCCATAAGAATAACTTTTTACAGCATATTTCTAGCTTCAAAGGAACAGATACTTCCTTTTTTATTTGTGAAATTAATCAGCTGAATTCTTAACTTTGTTGAATCCAGTAGAAGTCTGTACGTGGAGAGGCAAAGTGGATAAACCCAATAAGCACACAGAAAAATATATACTTTAGAGACACTCCCCCCACATGTACGTGAATATGTATGTGAATGATCCAGATTTCTTTTTTTTTTTAATGTTTATTTTTGAGAGAGAGAGAGAGAGAGTGGGGGAGGGACAGAGAGTGGGAGACACAGAAACCAAAACAGGCTCCAGGCTCTGAGCTGTCAGCACAGGGCCCGATGCGGGACTCAAACTCACAAACCATGAGATCATGACCTGAGCCGAAGTCGGACGCTCAACCGACTGAGCCGCCCAGGCACCCCTGAATGATCCAGATTTCTGAGTGTTATTTCTGTTTCCACAAAAAGGAAAATATTAAATTGCAAACTGTCTTCACCAAGATCACTAAAAATTCTGTGGAAAATAAGCAGAAACTTTTTGTGATTAGCAGATTGTATGCTAAGCACAGTGATGGTTACTTTATATACAGAGATACCCGAACTGTAATCCTTTCAGCAATCCTGGAATGCAGGAATTATTATCCTCATTTTACAGATGAGGAACTGTTAGAGAGGTTAAGGATTTTGCTCAAATGACTTGGGTAATTATTTTAGAACAGTGGCAATATTTTGCTGATAATAAAGAAGTATTGAATGTCTAGATAGTCTATGATTGGTTAAAATATCACAAGACAGTGTATTAATGTTAAGAATTTATATCAATTACTTAAGGAACAACTTGCAAAGACATTTCACATGGAATAAGTCTGCTTAAATATCATTCTTAAAGGAACATTTATGGAATTGGGATCACATGCTAACCATGGGAGGACTCAGGACATCCGTTACTTATTTGAGTAAAGATACTGCTGTCACATGAACACTCATGGCTTCTTGTCTACATTTTCTTTTCCCTTGGAATGTTTTTCTTCGTAACAAAATGATGAGACATCTGTTGCGATACGATTCTAAGGAATATTGTTTCTTTAAACACAAATATAAAATACCCTAAAACTATTTTTAAGTTCTAGGAGTTACTAAATCATCACTAGGAAACCATCACAGAACATGTGCTGGAAAGCTTCCCCCAGGGGCCTCCAGAGACCAAGGAGCGTTTTTTCATGTCACTGTTTCTTACTCATGCAGCGAGTGGGCTGTTGTAGCTGAAGGTGAGGTTGCTCTTTCAGGTGGGCGGCTTGTGGCCACTGCAGGACAGGAGCTGTAGTCCTAGCCCTCTGAGAGTCCTACTCGTACCCTATCATTATAACCGTCCTCAGACTGGTAGAGACGGCGGTTTAATCCACGGTGATTATCACTGAATATCATTTCTCTGTCTCGGTGATGTACTCCTTTGTGGATCACCTCCTGACGTTTTAAATAGTGGTGGACTCTTACTCTCTTTCATTTTGCTGTTTAGTGCTTTCTTTTATAATTCTCCGTGAATTCAGTAAATAGTCCTGCACCAGGCACTGGGTGCTTGAAATAAAAGATACAACCTTGCCTTCGGGGAACTTATTCTTGTGGGTATAGGGAAGAGAATAGGCAACTAGAGTAAAGTTGTTTAAGTGCTTTGGAAGAGATACACCCTGCCTTTTCTGTTCTCAGGAGCCTTCCCCCCAGATTGGAGGGAAAGGGAACTTAAGACTTCCAGGAGGGGGGTATATGAAGTAAGTCACATTCAAGATGAGTGGGAATGATGTGAAAGAGACTGCAGGATGCTTCCTTGTAGAAGGAGCTACCTGTGCAGAGGCACAGTGGAGTCAAAGTGTAGACGTGGTATTAAGGAAATGGAATAAATAGGATTGAATGTGAAGGTATAAGAGAGAGATTGCGCTGAAGGATGGCTTTATATCTGAGGGGCTATAGAACCACTCACTAAGACAGGGAATCTAGCATCTAGAAGAACTAGGTCTGGAAGAAAGATGCTACATTCATTTTGAACATATTAGATACAAAGACAGTCTAGGTTTGCCAGATTGGCTAAGTCTTCATCCCTTGAACTTCAGAGCCATCCACTTTTCAAACTACTGATCCTGGATCAATATGGCCATGACTTCTCCCTTCCTTTACCAAGATAACTGACAGCTGAAAGAATTCTTTTTTTTTTTTTTTTTTTCAACATTTATTTATTTTTGGGACAGAGAGAGACAGAGCATGAACGGGGGAGGGGCAGAGAGAGAGGGAGACACAGAACTGGAAACAGGCTCCAGGCTCTGAGCCATCAGCCCAGAGCCCAACGCGGGGCTCGAACTCACGGACCGCGAGATCGTGACCTGGCTGAAGTTGGACGCTTAACCGACTGCGCCACCCAGGCGCCCCAAGAATTCTGTGTTGGTTATCTTTTTACAAAAGTATAGCTTTACACTTCAACAAAACCCTGGCTTAATGCTCCGGTTGGAAGTGTCCCTCATTAACTCCCTCTTCCGTTCTCCAAAATAATGATCTCCAGATATTTACTGTTCCTCTTAGGCTCCCATCCCTCACGCTACTACTCTCGCAGGCTCCGCAGATGAGTCGCATTCTGCCTCCGATATGATCGAACCTATCTGTGAACTCCCTCGTCTTTGCGCTGCCTGCCTGTACGCTGTGTGCCCTTCATTTCCTCTTCACACAGGGAGGGGGTCTCTTCCTCTCCGTGCTTTTCCCTTCCCTTAATCACGGCACCCATTCGCTCTGGAGTGAAGTGCAGTTAGCCATCATCCCCACTAGGCCACTGAATTTGTTCTGATAAAATTCACATCGCCATTGCAAATTCTAATAGGTCTGTTCAGTCCCCATCCTGTTTGTTTTCTCTGTAGTGAGTATTAGGTTCTTGTTGATCATCTTCTTTTTTTCCTTACAATTTGTTCTTTGCGTGAAGTCCAGGTACCACTTTTTCCTGGTTTCCTCCCATTTCTGAAAACATTGCTTTGCTCTCTCCTTTGTTGATTTCACTTTCTCTTCCAAGCTGTTAAATATTGCTCTTCTTGCGGGTTGCAACTTGACTACACTGTATCCTGGTTTTCTCATAGTTTCTTCTGCCATTTGTATACCATGAAATCGCAACCAAAATGCCACTGAATCACCCCAGATCTCTCTTTGGAGCTTTGGATATAGATATACAATCTGTATTCGCTATTTTCCCCTGTAGTTATTTCAACCTGGGTGTCCACAGGCATCTCAAATGGTCATATCCAACTTCCTTACCCCACTCTACTAAGTTTCCTTGTATGTTGGTGAGTATATTATACTAGTGGATGTTA